GTAAAAAAAACGCAGTGTGTCTTTTTTAGAGGCGCGGGAAGTAACGTATGAAAATAAATGTCGTGGCTGAACTGATAGGGTGCAGTGTTTATGTTTTTTTTGAGAAATGCAACACACAACAGGTATAGCGGAAAACGCAGTAGGATCCTGTGGTGCTAGAGCAATGAAGAGTGTGTTTTTGTTAAGTCAAATTTTATGAAGACTTTAGATGATCTTTGTATTATAGCACTGATAACTCAAAATGTGACTTTTTCCAGAATGCGCGGGTTCGAATCCCGCCGCCGCTCGACTATTTGTGGTGAGCCACTCGTTACACAAGCATATTTAGCTTAATCTTAAGCTTAGTATTTGTGAGATACAAATTACTAATATTTTATATTCTTAAAAAAAATAACTCAATGGAATCAAAGAATATGTTTATGCTATTGTAATCGTGTATAACGTTTACCGTATCCAGTTATTTGAGTTTTTTTGTCGAATCTGAAAAAAGACACTTTTTGAGTTATGACGCTCTTGTATAATTGCACATGACATAGTACTTCTCCCGTATCGTCATAATTATTATTACAGGTTATACGCTACACGTGTACGTTGATAAAAAAGCTTATTCCTTATCAAGCAGAGTATCAACAGTTACTTTTATTTGAGAATATTCACAGTTGATTTGTAGTGAATAACTAGATCCATAGACAAAGCTATAGTAAATCTTCAATATCTAGCGCCACGTTATTTCGTCACATAGCTTACTTACGAATGTCTACCCAGAAGTCATCTCACATTTTATTTACCTACAAAAGTATGACAAATTCTAGATTTTTTCCTTTTTCTGAGGTTTTTCTTCACTACTTTGTCGTAAGTCCAGGCACAATAAAGAATACAAATCTAATACCAACAAAGAAAGCCTTCAAGGCTAGATAGTGTGAACTGTGAACACGTCTTGGGTGTAGTGATGTGCCGATGCGTTTGGTAATCGATTTTACTTTCAGATAGTAGGTATTCGAGTCAAAAGCACTACATTTTAACAGGTTATGTAGAAATGTGTGAAAAACATAAAGTAAAAAAAACTTATTTTTATACAGTTATTTTTTTTTATTAAATTTTCTTTAGTCCGTATTTTACGCGTCACAGCTGGGGCACTCCGAGTAGTCGTACGCGCTCGCACATTGTCCCGATATGTCTGTCTCGCTCATGCCTGTGTTATTATTACTTACTTAGCTAACATAGACCATTTTAATGCATGTTGCATTCAAGTAATTTTGAGTTCTAATAAGTGTTACATTATCTTACGTAAATAGTGCTAGCGACGCGTGTGTGCATAAATTACCAATTTTTGGAGGAAATTTTGAGTAACTATATTTAATTTTTTTTTGTCGAGGATAAAAATTTTGTGGTGTAGGTATATACAAAAACTGCATAAGGCAGAAAACTGTCTTATTTACAATATATTGTCGTTATAATTAATTGTTGTTTGCTTTCCATAAACATCGAAAAGAAATCAGTCACAGGCATGAATCTATTCAATAAACGAGTACCTAATAGTTTGAATCGATTTTGATCTTTGACTTTAGAGTCAATTAATGTCGCATTTTGATGCGAACCCAAGACTCAAAACATCTATTTTTATTCGATATTTTTTTAAATCGAGTTATCGATATTTGAATAATTATCATTCGAGCGAGTGCCACACGACTCATCTGTAGTGTAGGGTAGTCGCGACCCCCGCTCGCGACGATACTTTTTCATTTCCAGTAATAGAGTGGAGTCTTTTGGCCTCAGGGTTGCCAGTTAAGAATATGATACCAGTAAGAACGTGACACAAAAAAACAAAAGACGTGAATTTATTAAAATTTAAGCTATCGAGTAAAAATGTGGAAAAAGTTCTGGTACATACGTACCTTCTTAAAATATTGAGTTTCAGAGTTCAGCAATTATTGTAAAATGAAATAATACTTTTTACAGCAAAATCTTCAACTAATTCAAGGTTTAGATTTAGTTTTTTTTATTAATCATTGAAAAAACACAGTACATTATATAATATCGATAGACTATAATCGATAGACCGTAATCGCACCTGATGTTAAGTGAGATGCAGTATAGAATGGTACATAATGCCTGCCCTGTAAGCGCCTATTCATTTTTTCCTTGAAAGGGCCTGGATTGTAGTGTTCGGGATCAGGTAAGGCAGCAGCAGGCAGCGAATTCCAGTCCCTAGCTGTTTGCATTATGAAAGAGTTATCGAAACGCTTAGTGCGAGCTGGTGAAATGTCGGCAATGGAAATAATACCTTTTATTACTTTTTTGTCCATTTGCCCAGTCTTTTGGACTTCTTGTACGAAACTTTTTCCCTTAAGTTTCCCTCATTTTCCTTTTCCCAAAACTGGCAACCCTGTCACCCACGCGTTGCGGCACTTTTGTAACGTGTTGTGAAATATCGTGGGGTTATGAACCTATCGCGGCACAATATGCCCGATTATGGCCCGTTACGCCGTGGATTTGATTCGGTTTGTTTATGGATCTTTTATTTGAACGCCGGTTACGAGTTAGGTTTCTTTTTAGGGATTTTTACGAGAAACATAGTAATATCCTACTAATATTATAAATGCGAAAGTTTGGATGTCTGGATGTTTGTTACTCTTTCACGCAAAAACTACTGAACGGATTTTGATGAAACTTTACAGTATTATTGTTTATAACCCAGAATAACATAATAGGCTATAATTTATGACGATCTGTGACAAACTAAATTTCACGCGTCTGAAGCCGCGGGCAAAAGCTAGTGTTATATGATTTTTGCAAAGCTAGTGTGATATCGAATGAAAACAGGTTAATTTAATTGAATGTATTTATTTAAGGGTAGCAGGAAGCCACTGGATGCAGGCCGCTAACGACCGTGCGATGTGGAAATAATTGGGGAGGCCTATGTTCAGCAGTAGAATCAATCATTTGAAGTTATATCGTGGGAAAAGTTGTCGCATTTGAGTAGTATAATCTTTTTTAAGGCTGATTTACACATACAGGGTGTTGATTTCAATACCCGCCATATTTAGGGAGTTGATTAAGTAGCTTATTCTGATCACGAATCAGCAAAAAAACTGACTTCAAATTTTTTTAAAATTATATTTTAAATATCNAGAGAGGAAAAATAGAGTAAAGACGTTAACCTTCGATCTTAATTTAATCAACAAAATTAGTCCTAAAGAAAGAAAGAAAGAAAGAAAGAATGATTTATTTCTATCTAAAGTGATTGTAACATTATCAAATTTCATCTCGTTGAGAAAAATGTTAATAAAAGGCATTTTCGCTTGATGAATTGATGGGATAATACAAGGTGAAGTATATTACGAAAGTTATTACAATACTAGTGATGGGCTGACTTAATCGAATATTTTTGGAATCGACTTAAAAATTCCAAAATAATAAATCGATTCATTTTCATATTTGAATTGCCAGCATGACATGCCAGCAATCCTGATCATGAATGAATATTTAACGTGGTATTTAATCATAAATTAAAAAGCTGAGTGTTTTAATAAACTTGTGTGTTTGTGTCAGTCTAAATTTTTTATGGTATTTCAAAGAATCGGGTCAGAATTAATTTGGTAAGTAAAATAAATATTTAAGGATAGGCAAGTTAGGATTCCTGATAGTTATAAAATTTTAACAAATAGCAGTAGTGAGCAAACAGAAAGTTTAACTTCTATTCTTCTATTCTATTCAAGTTGGATTCGCAACGTAATCGATTCATTACGATCTCGAATTCCGACTATAAACCAACGTGTCCCATCACTACCTATAAATTCCCGGGTACGCTCGTGTTCCTCAATTTTTAATACGACTTGATGGTCCGTAACTCAGTATTAACGTGACTACGTTATTTTTCACAGCGATTATTGTAATTGTATGCAAATACCTTCCAATAGTGAGGTTATAAATCTTTTTGTATGGAATTATGGAGGAAAATGAAATTGTGTTAGTGTATTAATATCAGGCTTAAGACTTTAGGTTATAAATCTTTTTGAAGTCTTATTTCCATTGTTTTAACGTATATTTTCGATTAATCTTTTTTGTTGAAAGAAGTGAACTTTTATGTAGTAAGATTGCTCAAAAATTTCGCAAAAAAATAGGTGGTTCTAATACTCGACACGGCACATCATCTCAGGAGACCGTGGCATTGTATATGTCAACGTGAAATTGTGAACTCTGTCAGTTTATAATATAACGAGTTAGATTGTAAACCAACAGTGTGTTAGGTTAGGTTAGATTGTAATTTAACTACGTCAGATTATAATCTGACGGAATTCACAATTTTACGGTGACATAATTATAGACCGTTTCATTCACAGAGACGATTTGGTCGAGGGAAACGCGTGGTGTGGGGAGTTTGATCCGAGCAATCCGAGGGTCACTATTGTAGTGTGCGTGTGCACTCATGGATAATTTAGTGTGTATCTTTAACACTCGAACATAAGCGGAAGAATGGTGGGGCGCGTCTTCGTGGATGAAACGATCTATATTGTGGGTGGTGTCAAGTAGAAGCAACAGGACAGAAAAAGTGTCTACGCCTACGCAAGGGTTGGCTGATTTAATTTAGTTTCTACCTATGTCACAGTGAAATTGTGAACTCTATCAGTTTATAAAAGCCGTGAGACTGTAAATAATAATCTCGCTACGTCTGATTATAACCTTACAGATTTCACAATTTGACGGTGACATGTTAAAGACACAGAAGTGTCTACGTTTTTGCAGCCTCTTATGGTTCCAATATTTCTCGCTTTTGCGTATTTATGATATGACAAGAGTGCGCGGATTTTACCTGTCTAGCTCGCACTTATTGCGTGTCATGTAAGCTGACTGAAGACTGAGTTTCTTCCGCCACTTCTTCTCAGCACCAGCCCATATGTTGTCCCGAAGTGGTGGTAGAGCAAGCTATATTTGGGACGTGTAATAAGTGCCCTAGAAACTATGTACTGAATAAACTATTTTTGAATTGTTGGACTTACCTTTAACATCCAGCGCGATTTTCTTCACGATGGGCTCGTCGAGCGCCGCGGAGGACACCACACACTTGAGCTCGCCTCCCAGCTCCGCTCGCGTGATGGTCAGAGACGCGATGCGCTGCACCGTGGTCGAGTTGGTCTTCTCTTGGGCTGTAACAAGAATAAGTTATTAGCTTTGATTTAAGGTAATGTGCAGGAGAACCAAAGTGACTGACATAGCCCGCAGAATCGCTATAATAAAGTGGCCTCCCCCAATGATTTTTCCACAAAGGGCGGTTGGTAGCGGCCTGCATAAAGCGCCTTCCTGCTACTTTTATGAGGTCGTCGGTCCACCTTGAGGGTGATCGTCCTACGCTGTGCTTTCCGGTATGTGGCCTTATGAACCTTGCTGCCCCATCGGCCGTCAGTTCTAATAAACAATAGGTTGTATAACAATACTTTAACACATATTTCAAGAAACGAATCAAATGTTTAAATTGCTTTCAAATAAAACAGTAAAAAAATATTTAATTATGACGCTTCACTTTCTAGTCATGAAGTACCTACTTTAACAGTTCCTAATATAAATTATACATCAATTGTAGCAAACGCACCACGATTAGAAGGCGNAAAAAAAAAGTATATAAGTAGTATATCCGTTAAGCTAGCACCCATAACACAAGCATTAAGTTGCTTACTTTGGGGCTAGCTGGCGCTGTGTGAAATTGTCCAAAGATTTATTATTATATTATTATTATATTTATGTGCGGAAACGTCACAAAATCAGAATAAATTTTAATTTTTCCATTCCGCATCATGAAAACTAAAAAGTCAAAAGTAAAATTTAAATAGTAAATATTTTTCATAAACAAGCTTTTATTGATGCTGTAAAAAGAATAAAATAAAACATAAATTCTTTCAAACCCATCAACTTATTGCTTTACTCAATTTAAAGATTAAAAACTTGTCGCGGGATTTACTAGTGTAAAAAATACATTAATTACGTAACTTGATTTTGCTAAAAGTCTGATCTGAGAAAAAATCAAATAGGTAAAATTTCTTTATTATTATGTATGATGTACTGTCTTAGGTACGATACAACTACGGATTAAGATCGTTTAGTCGACGCAGCGTTGAAATTGTACAGATAAACGCAGTTTGCGCACTCACTACGCGACGTCAAGCAATAAAAACCTAAAATTCGAACGCCAACTTTTTGCTACAACGCTCTTAAAGAATTTACAGGCATTGGTCTAGCTTTAATTGTCGTGATTTAAGTACTCTTTATTTATTAGTAAAAACAAAATACTGTTAAAGTCGAAATTATAAATCTATTATTGTAAATAAAACGTTACAGACGTGTTAAAAGTTAAATGGAAAAAAAATCGGATCGANGAAATCAACACCCTGTATAAGGTAGCTAAGTAAGTAAGTAACTTAAATTTAAGTGATCAAATTGCATGTAAACACCACTTGCACGTTATAATTTAGTTGTTAACAAAATTTTAACGAATTGCAACTTGCTACTAAATTCCGTGTTTAAATGCAATTTGGTCACTTAAAATTAAGGTAAAATACTCAACTAACTAATACGTGTAAATCGGCCTTTAATGTATTTTGTAAAAAACTTGATATACCTAATTATGTGTTTATTTTTTATAGTCTACCTCAACGTAATGGTAGTTACACTAAGCATTTAATTACTTGCAAAACAAAATTGCTTACTCTACATCTGTCCAGCACATTTGCAATTCCGATTGTAAATACGTACAATTAATTAAAACGATTCCCAAACGGTTAAACCCGTACCATAACTTGCGGGACAAATAATGACGTTATGGGCCAAATAAAGGGACGAAACTTTAATTACGTGTAAGGGCTCGTTTCCATGGCAATCCAGTGATGCAGGATCCCGTAAAACTGGACTGTCCTGTGAACAAGGGCTACCTTTTTCGGGTTCCGTAGTCCTGACAAGGAACCCTTATTTGTTTACTGTATTTTGACGTTCAAAAGTGCCACTAATGGTCTAAGTTGAATATTTTTTTAAATAATGTGCGTTTGGTTTTTACGGACGCGCAAAAACCAGTTCCTGCTAAAAACGGGATGTAGCTAAGGGTTTGGACTTCAGGAGAATATACAGCACGATTTTTTTATCAGTTTCCAAATTTTCAAGAGCGACTCAGAATCAATAATTTAATCGATTTACGTAAAGAAATCTTTTTTTTTTTCACATTTAATTAAAATTAATTATGCGAACGAGCGGTTACAAAATTGGCACACGTGGATAATTTGCTTCGTTCATTCTTTTAAGAAAAATACGTACACAACGTAAACTGCAAAGCTTAATAAACATAATGGTAATAGATATGGGCAAATTAGATTTTCAATAAATTTTTTCGCGAAAAATACCACGATTAAAAATAATTAAGACAAAGTTTGTATTGTTAAATTGTTCTATAGAGCTTATGAAAAAAAAAATTGGATACTGACTGATTGCAATGTCACCCTGTATATCAGCTAGTACTGAGAAGAAGTGTCGTAAGAAACTAAGTTTCCCGCATTCAGTAAATGTAAAAATTTACCAATTTAAAAATATGAATATAACATCAAATCATTCTGATTCGGATTCATAATGAAAACGTGTTGGCAGCGTCCTGATACCAACATTATAACCGTAATGTATTCCAAACAAGGCTGATATTAATATCAACGTGTACATTATTGTAAAGGTGGGTCCTCACCTCTAGATAATACACATATTTCTTATTACCTTCAATGCTTAATTTCTTTCATTGGGCCTTTACAAGGCGAGAATGAATAGGCACTTCCATGGCAGATATGTACCATCCTAGACTGCATCTTACTTAACACCAGGTACGATTGCGGTCAAATACCTGCCTTGTACAGGTACTGCATAAAAAAACTTTCTGAAATAAGTTTATGAAAGTTAATCATCATCATTTGTGCCATCATCACTTATGTCCACTGCTTCTTCTATCGTGTGTGTGCAAAAAATAGTAGCTGCGTCATAACTACTTTCGGTTTCGTGTTAAATTCGATAAGTTCATTCATTATACGCCTTTAGATTATTGTAAGCTAAATAATAGGCAACGGGACTATTCCCACCTCTCGTTTCCACCGCTGCAACTCCTGTGTAGCCAGGAACTACAGCTTGACCGCCAATAAAAACCCAACCGGTGAAGGTCAAGTTTAGTTTACTAAATATAGGCATCTGACATGGCTTAACGTACCAAAAGTATTAAAAGCATTAGAACAATTAAATTAATTTAAGTTTACGTAACTTCAAAATTAATAAAACTGACTTACATTGACTCTGAATTTTCAATTACCCTTTGTAAATCCTCAAAACCTTGGCTTGAAAAGTAGTATTTGAATTTACTTAGACTATTACTTTATTGAATTGTTTGATCAGATAATTTAATAGCATGGACATTAATTTGTTATTAGGTATAACGTGTTTTAGTAATTTATAACCATAACGTTGTTGTGCAATGAATAAGCAATCGCCGTCACTGGGGACCCACCCCGCCACAAACTTTATAGCGGTCTGAATCCTAAAAGTTTGCATACGTTCCAATGATTGCATTTTCATAATAATTAACTGTCATTGTACAATGTTTTATCATCGTTAAATAATCGTTGTTTTATTTATTCTGTCGTAAAGTTTATGTTTGAATTTGAAAGTTAAATGATTAAATATTGGGTTTGCTTTGGTAATTAACCGGGACAAAATGTAGGATCGTTACTCAAAACACACAATGGAACTAGTGTGCAAGCGAAACTGGGTCACTATAACAATAGTTGTATTGTAACTAAACTTATGTAGATGATGTTGTTCGAACATTTGAATAGTTTGGATAAATAAAATAGACAATGCATTCCTGAAATCTTAATCAGTTGATTTGCTAATTAATTTACCTGCATTAATGAAATTACGGTTATTATTTTGACAAAATAAGTAACTTCAATTTCATTTATATTTTTACTAACTTTCCGCCCGCGGTTTCACCCGCGTGTAATTTTGTCTGTCACAGAAAAACTTTACCGAGCGCGTCCCTGTTTCAAAAACGGGATAAAAAGTATCCTATGTCGTTTCCTGGGACTCAAACTATCTCCATGCCAAATGGCAATGCCAGATTTTGTATGGAAGGTGGCGTCTTTTTTTTCGCGCGGCCATCGACCAAACTTTGTTTTTTGATTACAAAATAGTGTAATAAACCAAACTTACTATGACATGTATACCTCTAAACTCAGTCTGAACTGAGTTACGAGCATTAGAAGTTTGATGATTTACATACTAGATTTGCTTTTTGCGCGCAAGTTTTGTAAGAAATTGCTACAAAATAAATCGATATTATTGCGCTGATTCTACTCCACACTGATGTCTGGAGCCTTTAATGGATGGTATTGTTTGTTTACACATACAATGTCACTATTTTGTTGCAATTTCTTACANGATGATTTACATACTAGATTTGCTTTTTGCGCGCAAGTTTTGTAAGAAATTGCTACAAAATAAATCGATATTATTGCGCTGATTCTACTCCACACTGATGTCTGGAGCCTTTAATGGATGGTATTGTTTGTTTACACATACAATGTCACTATTTTGTTGCAATTTCTTACAAAACTTGCGCGCAAAAAGCAAATCTAGTATGTAAATCATCAAACTTCTAATGCTCGTAACTCAGTTCAGACTGAGTTTAGAGGTATACATGTCATAGTAAGTTTGGTTTATTACACTATTTTGTATCCAAAAACCATGGTTAGGTCGATGGCCGCGCGAAAAAAAAGACACCAATTTCCGGCATTGTCTTTTCATCAAAATCGCTTTAGTGGTTTAGGCGTAAAAGCGACACATACAGACAGACAGAAAGACAGACAGGAAAGGCGATATGGTGTTGATCCCTTTCCGAGTTGATAAAAAAATACATAAAAATAAATCTAAAAACTCAATGATTCACTGCAAGAATCAAATGGTTAAAATATCATGTTGCAAGGGTTGCCCTCCAAAACACGTTTACAATAATATTTCCCATAATGGTCCCAAAACTGTTACGCTTTGACTTGTAACCCTGGGCTAAGGCCTGTGTAAAACAAGGGTTTATTAACTCCGTTTTAGGTAAAACACCAACTCTGTAGGGTCTGAA